GCCCGCCCGGCCGCCCGTCCCCCACGGCGGCCGAGCAGCTGGGAGCAGGCGCCGGGCGCGTTCTCCTGCCTCGCCTAGACTGCCCGTCGCCAGCAAAATATCACCCTTACTTTTATTGCCTCCTATTGCAACACAGAATTAAAAGTCTGTATATCTCCTACATCCCTTGAAAGATTTGGTGTTGGGGGGGGAAGGGGAGGTCACATTGGTTTTGCATAATGCTGTTGCTAAGCTGCTTCTGATGACCTGAAATAAGTCAAGGCACGTTCCCTGAAGTCAGCATCTACCTCGTGTCTGCCATCACCTTGGCCAGAACAGATTACACTTACCCCCGTGCTGAACGCAGGCAGGCTGCAGGGTGTGACCTGGGAGAGGCAGGGCAGGTGGAAGAGGCAGGTTTTATGACCCCGCTGTGCAAAACTACGCTGGCACGCTGCTAAAACGTCCCAGGAAGTGCACGTCCGTCCAAAGGGATGAGGACCGCGTTGCTTGCAAAGCGAGCCTGCTGTATCAGCACGTGCGGGCAGGCGTCTCCGACCAGGCCCCGACACTTGCCCCTGGTTTGCCCGTGCGCTCACCAGACACCCTAACGGCCTCTTATGCTGGTGCCACCATCAAGCTCCGCAGAGGAACCGAAGAGAACCAACGTCCCTGCTGAAGTTTGGCGCAATGTTAGTTATGCAAGGAAAAATCCCATAGTTCCAGGGAGGAAACACCATCCTTTACAGTCTGCCATTAAGGGCAAGACGCACATATGGGTAAGGAAGTTCTCCCCATTAGGATCCCTCAAGAATAACAAGTTTTTTCAGAGATAGCTTTAGAACAATTCAGAACAATAGCTAAAGTACGTTTCTTTGGCATATTTGCACCCTTGTTTCCCGCCCTAACTTCTGTCCCTCACGCACCGACAAGGGAAAGGCCTGGCAGGAGAGATCCCAGCCCTTGCTGAGCTGGTTTCACTGCAGGCACCTTCCCCGGTAGCTGACCCACCAGCCTTGGCCCGTCCTGCAGCCACATGTGTCTCCTTCTCCTCCGTCCAGGACCTTCTCTGGGTCTAAAGCACCTTCTTCTCCATCATTAAAGTCCGTGGCACCTCCTACTCTTTTATCTGGCACAATTCCTTCTAAACAGAGCTCCCAAATTTGCCTCCTTGTCCCCAGACGCAGAAATCACACCCGCCCCGGCCGGAGCGAGACCCTTGGGTGCGGACGGTGCTGGACGCACCGGTGGCTGCCGCTGGCGCGGCAGGAC